TAACACCTCCTGTGTGATCAGTCAGACTTTTAAGCTGAGATCCAGTGGTTTTYTGTCAGGTTCACCAAGGCTGTTTTTATTTCCCTGCTCAATCTCACAACTATTATTGCCTCTCTTTAAAATCCTTTGGTGATGGGTGAGATACCAGAACACTGAAAACTGTCCAGTATGGTGACTGTCTGTAAAAAAGGTGGAAAGGAACCAATAAATTCTAGACTAGTCAGTTTAACTTCATCTCCTAAAAATATTCTGGAATAAAGAAAGTAATTGGAACAGGTAACCTAATAACACAGAAAGTATAGATATGAAAAGAATAAATCCTACCAGACTGGCATGCTACTGTAACAAACCAGGAATGTCTGCAGACAGGGAAGCAGCAGCAGAGGCCATAATTCAGTATTTCAGCCGAGTTTAAATCCTATTTCCTGTAACATTCTCTTAAAGTATAGCAAAAATTGACAATGTCAATGACATAAAAATTTGCAATGAGCAGGGCTGTTCTGACCATTAAGAAGGAAGGATATATCAAAAATAGACAGATATTCTGTCCTGGGCCCATATGTGTTCTGTGTTTCATTGATGATTCTATGAGAAAATGGAAACTCTGCTTCTTAGGGGCGTGAAACTGAAAGAAGTACATTATTAGTGCAAATAGATGTCAAAAAACAGGAACACAATCTTTAAGAATAAATAGGATTCAATTCAACTGGGACAAGACCAGGAGACCATGCTGAGCAACAGTAATCAACACCAGAAATACATGCTGAAGAACAATTCTTTGGACAATGACATTTTCAAAAAAGGACCTGGGGGTTGCAGTTCATCAACACAAGCCAGTAATGCCATGCAGACAGGATAAGCCCTGCACAAAAATGAATAATCAGGAGTACAGATTGTGAAGCACCTGGCAGGATCATGCAGTTCTGTCCAGCCAGGCCTCAGCTGGGGTCCTCTTTCCAGTTTTGTGCTCCATTTTTCAAGGATGCAGACTGCTATGGAAAGAGTTTGTTGGAGACCAACAAGAAAYATGACCTCAGAGAATGAGCTGAAARTCTTASGARTGACTGGCTTAATGAAGGTAACTCTCAAAGATTAATCAATGCCTGATAAAAGTGTTCATAAGCACCAAAGTCTGATAGAAGGAAGAAATAACTCATTCATTGTGTCCATGGTGGAYAGGACAAGAACTAATGGCTTTAAGTTGCAGCAAGAATAATTSAAGTTACTTATTAAAGGGAGAAAATTCTTCTTGATGGTAAGTGAAGCACAGGAATTTCCTGGATAGGTCATGAAGACCTCATCATTAGAAATTGTAAAGGAGTGAATAAACAAATATCTATCAGGAATGAACTYAGCATGGTTAGGAGATGAACGAGATAACCTTTTTGTGATCTCTTTCAATCTTTTTTTATAGTTCCACAATTCAGTATGCTAAAAAGACATTTCAGAATCTTTCTGCCCTTATGGTTAGAAAAAGAATTTATCTGGGGAATTTCTAGGGGTGGAAAAGTTTTTATAAGAGCTGTGGAGGATGTTTTATTTGTTTGCTGGTGGGCCTTAAGGGCACAGCACTTTAGGAACACAGTAGACCACATTATATTATTCTGAGAAATTTAAGTTAATGGGACTCATTTGGGGAATATGGCATAACATCATCAAAGACAAAATATTATGGGCTCTTACTTCTGTAAAAGAGTGAATGCAAAAAAGCTTTTCAAAACACCACCAGCATTCATTTTCACCAGCAATAAACCTCTCCCAAATAACAAMCCCCAAATTTAGCACTAGAAAAGCATTTGTAGGTACTTTTGCGGTCCCAAAGATGTGGAACTTATTACAGTAGGTCACCCAGTTCATGAAGTTCCTTTAAATTCACAGGATCTGTTTCACCCCAATGAATGTAGACTGTGCACAGAGGCTGAATGTAACAATAAAACATTCTGCTATTCATTTATGCTTTTTCTGAAATTTGCAGATRTTATGTGTGTGTGTGTGAGGTGAGGAAAAGAGACCAGGATGAAAAAAGAAGGCAGAGAATGTAGCAAAATAGACATGGTACACCAAAATGAGAAAGATCCTGTTATTCTTTTCTTTGATCAAGGTACTGGCCCCAGAAAAATGGCCAACATAAATGATGTATGCCAAAGTCAACTTGAGCTGATGTTCTTTCTAGATATTTGATCCTGTATCTGCCAATTTCCAGCCATTTCCCCAATTTTATCCACATTTAATATTTTGGAGTCATTAAAAATGTGTTTTTCTACTTAGTTCAAGTTTTCTGTGTAACAGGCATTTTATTCTTCCCCTATAATATGCTAGGAAAATAAAATGCCATTTATTCAATAGAAGTGGTAGAGAGAGTACTGAATTTAACTACCAATAATAATGCCTAATCACTGTTTCATTTTTAAAGCATTTAAGTGAATTTAAATAGGAAATCAAAGAGTTTACTTCTTATTTTTTAATCTAAAAGCACACGACACAAGGGTTATTTTCAATGAGCAAAAACTAAACTGTCGACATACTATTTTTTAAGAGGTCTTTGAATTATTATATTATTTATATGGCTGCTAAAAAAAGGTTCAACCATAGCTAACAAATGAGAAAGAAGGTTTCAGTGGATGTGTTGCAGGAACTGAAAAAACACAAGGAGAGAGACCTCCTGGACTTCCTACACTGAGAATCTCTGACTGTAAATCCCACTAATTTATGAGTGGAAAATACCCAAATAATTGTTTTGCTCAGAGGAGCTAAGCACCTGTAGTTGTTGTGGATTGTAATTGCTATTGTCAAATCTCACAACTTGTGGATATTTGGATTGTGCAACTCACAGGTCCTGGCATCTGAACAACTCCAGCTGGTGTTGGTCTGGGGCACTTCACTGGATTTCAAGTTGTTTTTGATATTGACATTTTTCACTTTCCCATCTACCAAAAAAAA